ATTATATTATTAAAAAAATTAGTAATAAAAGCCAAAAGACCAAAAGGTTAATACTAAAAAAAAAAATTTATTATAAAATTTTAATATAAAAATTTTTTTATTATTATTTAATTCTTTTAACAATAAATTTTACTTTAATTTAATGTATTTTTTTTTTTTTTTTTTAAAAAAAAAAAAGCAAGGTCTTATCTCAGTTTCTTTATTGAATTTTAACATATATAGTATATCAATAATTACATATAGTAATATATTATTTCTAATAAAACTAAAACTTAGGCAAGGGATGTGGTGACCTAGTGAAGTGGTTAGGTTGTCAACTCTCAAGTGGCAGGTCCAGAGTTCAAATCTTAGTATCGACAGAAAATTTAAAAATTCTATCTGTGTTATGGTTAACTGTCTCTCGCAATTGGTTGGAATAAGATACCTGTAATCTATGTCACACCAGCATGACTGGCAGGTCACATGGCATTTGTATAACAGTCATATAACATTGTCCTTTGAGACAAGGTCTGTGATTACATGAAGGAATACAAACCGGTATCAAGTGGTGCAAACCTACATTAAGTTTTTGTAACTATGTAAATCATAAGAACTAATAGAAGAAAGATGGAAGTCCACTTGGAAGACCTGAGTAGAGAGGTAACCCAAGCTTTTGATGGTGCTACTATAAAAACTAGACTTATGAAACAGAGTTAGAACTTGTGAAACTGGGCAAATGTGCTGGTTTTTGAAGAGGAACTAAATGAACCAACCAGGCCACTGGAATTTCTAAGTTCTGAAGAAAAAGAGTACATGTCAGCAAACATGTAAACCAGAGGTATAGTCTCATCCTACCTTTCTGGGCTATCTGGAATGACAGCTTGGTGGAACTTGAATTGAATACCAAAGTAGTAAGGATATGTTGTAAAGTAAGTATCGGGGTTGGGATGAACTCTACAAAAGCATAGTAGTTTAATGATATGTCTTGACTGTCAGTGTTGGTCTCGGCCATAGTGATATCAGGTCAGCTGTAAGAATAGAATACAAAAGATTCTAGAAGGTTTAGTACAAGGTCAAAGGTTTCAAAGAACTGCTTTAAAGACTTAGTGGCCATGGCATATTTTCATTGGCATCGGCCGAAGTCATTGGTAGGCAGAGGTAGATGGATGAATACGAAAACAGAGTGGTTAAATAGGGAATCTACAAGTGGGTTCCAGTTATGGCAGCTAGTGTAGAACCTTCAGGCGGACTACTTAAATTAGACAATGACTAAAGTTGTATGAATGGCTAGTTGTATACTCTTCCTATGGTTGCCTCCTATGGTTGTAATACAACCATTAGCCAAATATACTATCAATAAAATCCTGAATCGCAAGTACTCATCTTAATATTTAAAAAAAAAAAGAATATTATTACAAGTCATTCTTATTAATGTTTATTATATGATTATTTTAACTTATCTCAATCAAACTACTTTTCTTATACTACTGGCTACTTTAACTCTAATACCAAGCCTTGGTTACTTATTGTCCTCAATAATCAAATCATTGTTGGCAAAACCAGAAAACATAACAGCCCTACAGGCTTTACTCTTATCACTTACTGGCACTGTTCATTTTAGTCTCAGTTTACTAATTCTTATTTCACTTCTCTCTCTACTATTACTATATGTTCTGGATGTCATTTTAATTTCAATACAATTACTAACAAATGCATTATCTTTATTCCTACAAATTTGACTACTAAATTACTTTGTTATATTAATTTTAACAAAACTCTTAACCTATATGCCAACTTTCTTGATATTGTATACTTTATAGCTATTCGACATCTTTTATATATTCTACCTCCTTCTTTATTAACAATCAATCTACAACAATTACCTTGCATCTTTCAATCATGCCAACTTACTAATAGTCTATAGTCTATTGCTAACTCTAATTATAATCTAACTACTATTTCATTTTATATTGATGGTTCTATTATTGAGCTTGATACTTCTCAATGTTCTATGGGCATAGACTGGATCCAAGTTGATAACTCTACAACTACTCATTCATTTTAGACACATGGCTATGCTCTTTTAAAGCTAAAATTCTTGCTATTCTTTAGCAATTATTACTGTTTCCAAAAACTGTTCTGTTCATATCTTTACTAACTTACAATTTGTAATCTTCAAATATCACAGTATCTGCTTATCAGCTTCTAAACTTTCTCATACTTATACTTTATACTTCTCTATTTAGCCAACTCTTATCAACTTCATTAACTTATACAATATTCAGCTCACTTTTCATAAAGTTACTATACACCAAGATGACCTATTTAATAATCTTGCTGACCAGCTTGCTTATAGTCATCAAATACTATTTTTCTTAACATTTCTAAGTAACAACCCTTATAACTCTGCATATATTTCATTTATTAACTAATTTTCTATTAAGATTTCTATTCAACACTCTATCTGTACAATCTGTTAAGCTTATATTATAACACTTTGGATATCTCAACATCATTTTTAATAATGGTCTGCCATTGCATCTAATATTAACTAAGAAGCCACTTGGCTTTACATTAATAATAATTAAAAAGTCTCTAACTTTGATTATAGTTTTCATTCTACAAACCTTTTGTGTTAAAATTCTCTTAGATGAACTACCTGTTCCTTATACTCTTCATAAATGTAACTTTTCTTACTCTCCTCTTTGTCACCAATGCAATCAAACTAGTTCCTTACTATACTGGACTCTTTGTTTCTTCATTTAAACAATTTATCATTTAATTTCTAATTTTCTTAACTGCATCTTAAATACTACTACTCTTGATATGCCTGCTAATTCTGTTTCTAATCTACATTAAGAAATTCTAATACTTGACAGTTTTAAACTGCACAACTTTTCTTATTTACCATCTCTTATTTTTACTTTATCTGACTTAGTCTTTACTGACCTTGTTTCTATTATTCATAATACTTTTATTCTTTACTATATAGCTATCTTTCTTTCTATTAAATTTCTTCTTTATTTAAACCAACAAATATATAAACAATTATAAATTCTATATTGTATTTCACATTTAGCACAGTCTTCAACTACATCTTCTACAAACTCAACTCATAATTCTCTTTCTAGTCTATTATTATCTTCTATCTTAATACTACAAATTATTATTAAAATTGATCTTTGAACTATTCAATGGATTAAATATTATACTCCTCTCTTATATATTATTACTAATATCCAAATCTAGATGAGCCTTGACCACTCTTGTAGGTTTAGATTGCAGATTATATGTCTGAGTCTTTATTCTTTATATGTAATTTAAAAGCAAACTTTTCTTTGTAAAAACTTCAATTGAATTTCAATAAAGTTAAAGGCATGGCCTCACCATTAATATTTTTTTTTTTTAAAAAAAAAACAATGTCCAATGAACTGGACTGGACAAGGCCAACACTGTGATACTCAGTATAAGAAAAAAAATTTAAAAAATCATTAATATCTCAAATTTTACTAAGAAAACAATATGTAGGTATCTTAAGTAAAATTGAGTAAATTATTGCAGTATCTAATTTTACATATAATCACACAAGTTCTAAATCTTACTCTAACCTTAATATATGGGTTGCCATCAATAGAAATCAAGCAAATCAACATTAGAAAAAAAATTTAATGCCTTAATTTTCACAGCTCATATCTTGATGGATTTTAAATATATCTTGATGGTTTAATATTCAAAAGAAAGTTTAGATCGTAAGCTTTCTTTTGAGTATTAAACCATTAATATCGATTTAAAATCCATCGAGATATAAGCTGTGAAAGTTAAAGCATTAAATTTTTTTTCATATGTAGATTTGCTTGATTTCTAATGACGGCAACCCATATAGCATTATATTAAATTTTACTATTGAGTTAAAATGTGATGACGAATTTAGTAAATTTTACCTACACCTATTTCACTGACAGTCCAATTTTCCGACAGCCACTTCATCAACAGCCCATTTCCTGACAGTTCATTTCGCTAACAATTCTATTTTCCAGACTTGCTATAAAGTGGGCAATCCTAACCCAAAATCGGGCTAAAATTGTCGACGAAATGAACTGTCAGGGGAAATGGGTTGTTGTCTGAGTAGTGAGCTGTTGGTGAAATGTCATCAATGAGATAGGTGTCGACGAAATTAGGATGAGCTCCGTGCCTACTCCTTGGGGTTATAGATGGATGTCTAAATTACTTCTCTTAATAAAAAATTATTTTGACATTTAGTCTGTCGAATTAATTTTTCATTGTGGCGAAATTAATTTTCATAGTTCAGTAGTTGTCGAAATTTATAGTGAAATTATTTGAATGTCAAAATACATTAGAAAATGTAGTTACTTTGTGGAATTTATATAAAAAAATTAGCAATGTCGAAATATTTGTCGAAATTACTTTTTTAAAAAAAATCCATGTGCACTTGGGATATTGATTTAGTGTGCGGCCTACTCACAGTTTTCTTTACAAGAAAACATATGTCAAGCCAGCACCTATTTTTTATCCAGTTTATTCTTTTATTTTTTGTAAGTAATGGATTTTGAATATCGTATTTTATTCAACTAACCATGAAGAATGGCATTTTCTTGGGCTACTACAATATTTAGCTTTAAAAATCGAATACACAAGTGTAAGCACCACTGGCATTTGGATCACTCACGAGATTTTATAAATTAATAAATTACAAATTAGTTGTTGATTATATGTGGCTGATTGATTTTAACAATATATTGTTTCGATGTTTAACTTATTTAAATCTTCAAACCACTTTCAAGTTACAATATACAACGCGAGATTTTTTATAGTAAAAGAAAACAATTTATAATGTATTCGTATTGTTTTGTGTAAGAAGATTGATTGGTATATTAAAAATAAGCTGCTGCTGCTACATGATATTATTAATTTAATGTTTATTATGCAAACTTTTAAAATTTACATTATACAAACAAGAAACTGTATTATACAAAAAATACAGTCTTCAAACTTTAGAAGCTTTAAAAAGCAAGGTCAGGTGGTATGAAATCATTGTTGTCATAATATTCATCAGTACCATCAGGTATCACATTATACATCCAATTATAATAATCAGTGTTATAACCATTATGCGTCCAATGATAATTATAATAATTAGTGTTATAAGTATTATACATCCAATTATAATAATCATTGTTATAAGTATTATACATCCAATTATAGTAATCATTGTTATAATTATCATAGTATGGGTAGTAAGATGTTTCTTCTGTCTCTTCTGGCACTTCCGATTTAGTTTGCTTAATCTTTGAATTTGTATCATCAGAAAATACGACTGGTGGAACCTCAGGATTTTGGGTCTAAAAATTTTAGATTTTAAGTAAATAATATTATCAATCAAGAAATAGGTAACTCTTAATAATAATACATGTATATTAAGTGATATTTTGGCATACTTTTATTGTTTCTCTTATATTTAACAAGTTTTCATATGCTTCTTGATCATTTTCGGTTGTCAATGGCCTTTGATGATGCTTAAATGAAATTTCATCTAAACCACAAAAAAATTTTTTAAAAAATACATAATTATAATTCTACAAAAAGAAATTAAGAACAATAATTATATCAACAGAAAGTAAAAAAAATAGTAATTTACCAGGAAGAGGCTGGACACCAACATGATAATTTGTTTTCAAAGATTCTATAAAATCCAACTCATTAATATCAACAAAACTAATTGCTAGACCATGAGTTCCTATCAATTAAATAATTTTTAAAAAAATGTTATTAATCGCAACCATAAATCATTTTTATAAAGTACTAAATAGTTACCATAACGTCCAGTTCTGCCAACACGATGTAGGTAAGTTTCAGTATCCTTTGGCATATCAAGATTTACCACCAAATTTACTCTATCAATGTCAATACCCCTGGCAATCTTTCATAAAAGAATGAGATAAATAAATAAATAAGTATATTCATATATTCATAAAAGTTGTAATAATCCAGATTATGCATTTACCAAATCACTGCAAACAAGGACTCTTATTTGAAAATTACGAGCCTTTGACATTGTTTCAAGACGAACTCTTTGATCAAGCCCACCTATGTATATATATAAGTACATTATGCAGAATGGAAAAGAAATACTAGTAAAATTTCACACCATCATGCCTGATATATTCATTGCCATCCACCCTTGGCTTGTTAAATAATTTGCAAGATCAACAGCCCTATATAAATATGAATTAAAACCAATCATTAACACCATAAACATATTATAACATCATAAACATATTAACATAATAAACATATTAACATAATAAACATATTAACATAATAAACATATTAGCACCATAAACATGTTAATAATAAATAATTACCTTCCCCGATGATTTAGAAAAACTATACATTGATAAAACGGAACGCGACTCAAAAGATCAACCAACTTTTTGAACTTTTCTTCATAGAATTTGAACTTTTCAGTAACATTAGCTGTATTTGGAATTTCTATTATTTGGTAATACTGCAATACACCTATAAGACAAACACATTTATTTTTAATAATAAATAAAATAAGAGTGAAGTTAGTAAATAATTGATTTTACCTTCTAGAGCTGGAGTATCTTCCGAAAGCATGATATGATATGGATTGCAAACAAAATTTGCAAGAGTTTTTAGCAAAGCCTTGTCATATGTTGCAGAAAATGCGAGTACTTGCTTAATTTTTGGAAGTTTAACATTTATTTTCCTATTATAAATAATTTAATATATAATTAAAAAGATAAATAAATAAATAAATAGATAGTTAAATAAATAAAATGAGTAGATAGTTAAATAAATAAATAAGCAGATAGTTAAATAAATAAATAAATAAGTGGATAGTTAAATAAATACTTTAATTGAGGAACAAAATTGCTTTCCATCAATTTATCAGCTTCATCTAATACAAGTAATTTTATGTCTTTAGCAATCATTTGCTTGTTTAATAAAAGACCAATACGACCTAGTATAAAAACATTATTAATTTTGAGTACTTTATTATTACAAAGAAACAAGATTATATAATTACCAGGAGATCCAATTACTATATGACATTTCTTAAGTTTTGGTATATCTTCTTCAACAGGAATTCCTCCAATAAATACATGACAAACCAGACCAACCATATAACGACCAATATTTGAAATGACTTCTTTTGTTTGTACGGCTATTTCTCTAGTAGGTGCTAAAATCAATACCTATAAATCGAAAAAAATAAATCGAAAAATAAATTAAATTTTAAATAAATTGAAATAAAGTAAATCGATAAGAAAATAATAAAATGTTAAATAAACCTGCGGTTTAGTATTACTCAGATTCAACATTTCCAATGCGATAACACCAAATACAATTGTTTTTCCGGTTCCCGATTTTGCTTGAGCAATAACATCAAGCCCAAGTTTTCCTGGAGGAACAGCTTTTAATTGAATTGGAGAAGGACGATCATAACCTGCTTCTGATAATCCACGTAAAATGTTTTGATTTGTAATTAAGGAATCAAAATTGACATCTTCATCTATTTGAACATCCTTTGTACGATCAAATTTAACTTTTGACATAATAAAAAAAGAAATGAGGGGTAATTTTTTTTTTCGATCCGTGATCTTGGTTTTTAAAATCAGCTGATTCATCACGGGTCACAATGAGTTAATGTTTAGTAACAGGATTACTAAAATTGATAATGATTAACAATTCCCCCTTTCCATTACCATTACTGCATTACAGCATTAACGTTAAAAGTTTCAAAAGACATCGTAATTATGCATTTATTTGCTCGGAAAAAAATTTTCCTTGGATTTAAAGAACTAACTATTCGACATGTATGTACGTACGTACGCACGCATAAAGAAACTCTTGATATGTATGTATGCATGTAAGTTTTTTTTAAGTCCCGAAATAATATTGAGAGGGTCATATTTAATTAGTTGGTAACGGTAACGGTAAAGGCAATATTAATTCCGTAATTGGATATTATTTATTATTAGAAATTACCGCAGTATCAAAGTGTTCTGAGAATACTCAAAATTAGAATTTATTTTTTTTTCAACATTCTTTTGGCGAGACTATTCCTAATATCTAAATTCGTAACTCATTGGTAATACGAAATTGTATAGATCCGCGCTACGAGTTACATTTGAATTAAACCTCCCTAAATTTATTAGAATTTACCTCCGTACAATACGTACGTACGTAACTTTAGTACGTACGTACGTAACGTATTTCCGCGTTTAAATTCCCCTGATTTCTATTTTAATTTTATGTTAAGGGTGATACAAGAATCTTTCATTTAATAAGAGGGATTTAAGGTTCTCCTATTTTTTTTCTTGTCGATAAATTTGTTAAATTTGTTTTTTTTTTATTAATAAAATCAAAAAAAAATGTTTAAAAAAAAATCAGTAGTAATTAATGGTGGTACTCAACCACGAGCAAAATCACCACCTGGTAATAAACGAAATGGTATTACATCTCCAAGATTTTATGAAATTCTTGATTATGTTGCTTCGAGGATGAATGGTAAAAATCAGTTATTAGATTATTACATGATTACATGATTATATGATTATATGATTAAAGATCAAAGAATAACATCATTTTTTATATCATATCGATATATGATTTCACGTGTTTAATTAAACATATATCTAATTTAATTTATTATGTTTTAGTTCCTTTACAATTTGGTACTTTTATGAAACGACGTTATAGTAAAGATGACATATCATCTCCTGCTGATTTTGAGTATGATCTCAATTGATTATTATATGTGTGCTAATATTTCTCTAGTATTTTTATGTTTAAACAAGAATTTTTTTATTTAAGACATCTTATTCATACTGAAAGCGAAGCGCAAGCACAAGAAATATTATTATATTGGAGTGAGAATCCTACTGGAAATAAGATGCCAGGTAAAAATAGCATTAAAAAAAACATCTGTTATGACATAAATAGCATTAAAAAAAACATCTGTTATGACATTATGACTTCTATGGCTGTTATGACATTATGATTTTTATGAATATTATTACATTATGACTTTTTTTTTGTTATAACTTAATGAATATTGCTTCTAAAATTTTTTAATTTTTTAGATACTAAAATACAATATAAAACATTACCAAATTTATTTATTGGAAAAGATGGTAATAATAATTCACTTAGTGATATACAAGAAAATAGTACAGGAACTGTTATCGTTAAGAATTCCGGATCATTAAATAATCAATATTCTGATACATCATTACAAAATATTGTTCCATCATTGGCAACAATTGAAAAATCAGTTGCCACTAAAATTTATTTTGAAAATTATTTTTATGGTATTCTTAAGAAACCATCAGGACGTGCTAAAAGACGTTTACAACTTGAAACAGAACTTGAAAAGATGGCAATATCTGATAAAGATAAACGTGAAATTCGACAAGAATGGCTTACATTAGAATCGGATTATATGCGTCTTTTACGTAAAAAAATTACTATTAATGCATTTCAAATGATTAAAACGATAGGTCATGGTGCTTTTGGTGTTGTTAAACTTGTTCGTGAAAAAAATACTGGTATATTATATGCAATGAAAATAATGAGAAAAGCTGATATGTTAAAAAAAGGTCAAGAAGGTCATATACGTGCTGAAAGAGATTTATTAACAGCTGCATCTGAATCTGCTAGATGGATAATAAAATTGATTTATTCTTTTCAAGACGCTGATCATTTATACCTTGTTATGGAATATATGCCTGGTGGTGACTTATTGAATTTACTTATCGAGAGAGATACTTTTACTGAAAATTTTGCTAAATTTTATATCGCTGAAATGGTATTATGTATCGAAGAGGCTCACAAACTGGGTTACATTCACCGTGATATAAAGGTAAAATAATTTATTTCTTAATGTTAATAATTACTTATTAATTACTTAATTAATTTTAATTATTTTAATTACCTAACTCTAATATTAACATTAATTATTCTAATTACCTAATTCTAATATTAACAGCCTGATAACTTCCTTTTTGATCGTGATGGACATATAAAACTTTCAGATTTTGGATTGGCTACGGATTTTCATTGGGCACATGATTCATCATATTATGATCAACAACGTCGTGATCTTTTACGTAAAACTGGTGTTGACGTTGAAACTGATACACTTTCAAGATTAATGGGAAAAAAATATCAATCGACAAAATGGTTAAATAAATGGTCTGATGATTCGGATTCTGATAATGATGTCCCTAAAACTCGTATTTTAAGTTGGAGAGATAAACATCGTAAGAATATGGCTTACTCTATTGTTGGAACAAATAATTATATGGCTCCTGAAGTTTTAAGAGGATCAGGTTATGGCCGAGGTTGTGACTGGCAAGTATATCTTAATCTATAACTTAATCTATAACTTAATCTATATCTTAATATATATCTTAATATATATCTTAATATATATCTTAATCTATATCTTAATATATATCTTAATATATATCTTAATATATATCTTAATATATATCTTAATATATATCTTAATATATATCTTAATATATATCTTAATATATACCTTGATATATATCTTGATATATATCTTGATATATATTAAGATATATATAGTTTATGTATTTGAGTGCCGTCATGTCATAGGGCTTTCAATTATATTTTGTACCGGACACAATTTTATGTAATTTATTAGGAATTGTGTCCGGTACAAAATATCTTGAAATCCCGATGACAGGTTTTCCTTTGATGCCACTCATATTGTCATCGATTGTCGTCAGTTATGATCAATTATCGTCAATTATTGCCAATTATATCAATTATCGTCAATTGTTGTCAATTTTATCAATTATTATCGTCAATTGTTGTCATCAATAATATGCTTATTTACCCTATTTTTTATTTTCTATTTTGGTACATATTGATACGCATAGGTGGAGCCTTGGAGTAAGTAAATCATTTTGTAAATCTATTCGATATTGAAAAAGTATTATTTATTATATTACTTATTACTTACCTTATTATTTACATTATAATTAATTATTAGGTAATTATTTATGAAATGTTGTATGGATATCCCCCATTTTGTGCCAAGTCACGTCACACAACTCGTCTAAAGATTATTGATTGGCAAAGCCATTTAAGATTTCCTCCTTTACCTTATGTTTCTTGTGAAGGTAAATTAATCATAATAAAATAATTATTCATCAAATAATTCATCAAATAATTATAATAATTGAAATAATTAATATTATTTATATAAGTTCATGACTTAATAAGAAGATTAGTTTGTGAAAAAGAAAATCGTCTTGGTTCAGGTTCATCAAAATCTACAATTCGACCAAATGAACTTTATCTTGCAAATAGAAAATCAGTTGCAATTGGTTTAGGAGATGCATCAGATATTAAATCACATCCTTGGTTTAAAGGTATTGATTGGGATAATATTTATAAGATGACTCCACCATTTATACCGCGATTAAAAGATGAAATAGATACTAGATATTTTGATGAGAATATTGATGATAATCCGTTAGCACCTCCTGAAGGTGAGAGAAAACCAAGGGATCCTATGTTGAGAGATAAACGACATGGTAAAGATATATTAAATATGCGAAAAGCATTGGCATTTGTTGGATATACGTATAAAGGATTACCTACTGAACAACAAAGAGGTGGAATGGCTGAACGTGTAGCAGGAAGATCTAATAGTATTGGTGGAAGTTTAAGAATTCGATCAATGAGTTTGTGAAATGATATAATACATTTGTTATGTTTCTATATTAATATTGTTTTTATATTTTTTTTTATATTTTTTATATATTTTATATTTTTGTATTACATAACGATAATGTCCGAACTTTTAAATTCTTAATTTTTTTCTTTTTTTGATAAATCATAATTAACACTAACCATACGTGACATTAACCATACGTAACATTTAAATGTTTTTTAATAATACTTTTTTTATATATGTAAATTTCTTTTTTTATTTGTATATTAGCACATTGTACGTACGTATAAACACTTTCATAGTTTATATAGTTTTATTTGTGTATTTTATATAACTGTATATGTGGTATTAAATTAGGGATAAATATGTAATATTAAATTAGGGATGATAAAAAAAAAAAGCATATCGATATGTACATGTACGTACGTACGTATTGATTCTTTTTTTTTTCGGTGGTTTAAAATTTATATATATTTTTTCACGATGATTAATATTCATTATTGTAGATTGTTTTTTTTTTGTTTACTTTATAATTATTTTTAACTAATTTTAATTATTTCAATTATTTCGAATGATTTTTATACGTTCATATATACATATTGATATGTACAGTACATTATGTACGTACTAATAATGCTTAATGTTGTAATGGTTTGTTAATTTTCCTATCAAAAATATCACAAAATAAAAATATCGGTATGTACGCACATACCGATAGTGTACGTATGTATGTCATACTTACGTAATACAAAGCATTATTTTAAACAGCATTATCTATTTATAGTTATCATTTTTTTTACGAATGCTGGAATGTGATAGGTGTATGCTACGTATTGTATTTTATCAGATATACACATGAATTAACTTAAAAAGAACTAGTCATTTGATTTAACTTAAAAAGAATTAGTCATTTTATTTTTAAAATTAAGAATTGTGGCTAAGGCAAGGGCTAACGTTAAATCTAAATTACTGTAGCTAATTTCAGTAATTTAACAATTAAAACTTTCCCAAAGAAATCATATATTTCCGAACCAGTTTTTTTTTTTTTTAAAAAAAAAGGGTAACTAAGAATTTTAGAATCTTTGAATTTTTTTAGAATTCTTTTTCACATCAAATTTCATGCATAGCAAATTTCATGCAGGTATTGCAGGTATTGCACGTATTGCGTATATGCGCATATATCGAAACAATGACTAAGTTTATTAATTGGTATGTAGCAATGAACCAAAATATGATTGATCCAATATATGATTGATATTAGATAATAATAATATAATGACGTTAGTATAGTTAGTATAGCAAAAAAAAAAAAAAAAAAAGAAAAAAAAAGGAATTCGTTTAGAATTAAATTTAGATTTAGATTTACACATTAGGAATTAAAGAGTGTGTTGTGATTAAAGTTCATAAAGTTCAAGAACCCAAGAAAGTAAAGAAAGTAAAGAAAGTACATTAACTAACTAGTTTATAAAAAAAAAAAAAGTTCTATATCACGCGCCCAACCAATAATTTGAGAAAAAAATGTCTAAATTATCTACAAAAAGAAAATCAAAGAAATCTGTTATTCTAAAAAAAATATATAAAAATTGTTCCATCAAAATTTAATAATTTCCCTATTTGTTTCTTGTTTTTTCGATTGCATCTGATATGATGATCCCTCAGTTAATGTATGATAATTTGACGTATGATAATTTGATTGTTGTGTTTGTAAAATTCTTCTGCTCGCTAACACATAAGATTGTTCATTATATTGTTCTTGATTAACTGCCAATGAAGATACTGAAAGATTATCATATCCTGATGACAAAATATTTGGTCGCTTGATTATATTTGATGTGAGTGATTCATCATAAGTAGAAATATTATCATTAATATTATTTTGTCTTGAATAAGGAACAGTATGTTTATGTATAACAACTTCGTTATCTTCTTCTACTTCCTCCTCCTCCTCTATATAATCATCGTAAATATCATGAGGATAATATTCACCATGTGATATTAATGATGAACCCGAACCTTCACCATTTTCTTTAATATTTCGTAATTCAAGTTCATGTTCTGGTGGAATTCTTGTTGGGCTTGATCGATCTTTTTGAATTGATGTTTTTATCTTATTTATAAACTTATTTGGACCTATAATATCATCATCTTTTTCTTCATAATCATAATTATCATCATCTTCTTGAGGAGTGAATTCTATCGAATCAGATCGATTTCGACGATTAGATTTTGACCAAGGCATATTAGCATTAAATGTGTTTAGAGCATTTAAAAGAGATCTTTTACGAGTTTTACGTTTATCTTTTTCATTTTCACGTTCACGTTCGGAAAGGAATTGTCTCTTATCCTCAAACATTATCCATTCAGGTTCATGTCTCTCATCTCGAGGTTCAACAAAGACCCATTCCCAAGGTTCTTTTGCATTTTTTTCATTAGAACTAGATTCGACCCACATGTAAGGGAAATTATTATTAATAGGTTCTATGGTCACGTGAGAATTCATAGGATGATCATTTGTTTCATCTTGTTCTTGATCGGTTTCCATGGTAACGGAAAAACCTGAAAAACTTGAATCAGGTCTTAAACATAAAAAGCAAAAAGTTTTTCTTAAAGGTTTGTTTTTCCGTTTAATTGGACGATCCATTGGTGGAGATCTTTCTCGAGTTCGTAATTGTATTTCATCATCATTTTGCGATTGCGGTTCATTAAACTCAGAATTGGTTACTTCAGAATTGGTTACTTCAGAATTAATTACTTGAGGAGTAATTACTCGAGGAGGAGTAATTGCTTGAGGAGGAGTAATTGCTTGAGGAGGAGTAATTACTTGAGGAGGAGTAATTAGTTGAGGAGGAGTAATTACTTGAGGAGGAGTAATTACTTGAGGAGGAGTAATTACTTGAGGAGGAGTAATTATTTCAGGATTAGATGAATCAGATTCAGATGTTTCGGAGATAGGTACAGAAGTAGTTGAAGGACCTAATGTAGAACAAAGACTAAGGATATTTGAATTAGTAGCGGTAGAATCTCTAAAACCTTTCTTTTCAAATTCATCCCATACAACAGTAGCACGTAAAGAACCTTTAGAATTATTTCCACCCGATTGAAATAAACTATCTCTTAAAGTTTCACTATCAATTTCAATATTAGGAAGAAGTTCTAAAAATTTTTGATCCAAATGTTTCTTATTAAATTTTCTACTACGTCTTCTTACAATACTAGCACAAGGATTTGAACTTCTATCATCAAAAGCAAAGAATAATTTTAAAGCTTCTTCAGAAAGTACATTGAAACCTTTAATTTGTAATTCATCCCATTTTTGAGCGGCAATTTGAGAATCTTCAATTATATTATCTAAATTTTGATAAGTAGTTTTTCTTCTTAAAGAATCCAAAGATTCAGCAATATCAGGAAACATTTCAGCGATAGTTAAAGAACCTCTAGACATGATACTTTCATGAGGTTCATTTTTAAGCATAGATTTTAATAATATAGAACTAGTTTGTCTATTATTATTTAAAGTAGAACTAGATTGTCGTAAAGAAGCATTATTTAACATAGCACCGGAACGTCGAGAATGATGATTATTATTAATATTATTCTTTGAATGATCGAATTGACGAGATAAAGCACTATTCCTTATAGAATCAATTTGTCTAGGGATTAAATTATTCTTCTGACGTGATTGTTTTTTTGGTCTAATAATTAATTGTAAATCTTCAATAGTAATATCGGCTAAAGGATGTTGATAATCAGGAGAAGATCTTGATTTTTTACGAAATTGTACATAAGCATCCAATAAAATATTTAAACGAGGAGGAAGACTAGCCGAACAAGCTCTTTCACGTAAATAAGCCAAGAATAAATGAGTACATGCGTTAGAGCATCTTAACCATTTTGTATAAGCAGCACTAAAATTTTCAAATTTAAGTTCTTTATCACCGATAATATAATGTGCCATTGATTTAATTATTCTTTGAGCAGGAATTTTGTTTATATGAGCTTGTGTCATTACTTGTGAAAATAATTCAAATAATTCCAGAAGAATTGCTTGAGCTGGTTTTGAAAGATTAGATATGAATTGATTGAATATGCCTTTACGTGCATCATATTGTAATTCTTATATATATCAAATATATCAAATATATCAAATATATCGAATATATTAAATATGTTGATAATAATATTATTATTAGTATTAATCAAAATTAATGTTTAATAGAACGATAAATAATATTAAACTTACCACTTTCTAGACGAACAAAATTTTCGTAATTTTTATATGACACTATACTAGTGACACATCTCCTAAGAGTCCATCTAATACCAGAGACTATATTACGAATATCTTGAAACTTGAGTTCATCCTCGAATTCCGTATGATTATCACGTAAAAGGCAATTGATAAGGTACCTGACCTCATCAGGGTTATCTTCATGATCAACTGGTGAGAATAAATTCTCTTCACCTAATCCTATTTTATTTTACGCGATTAATTTTTTTTAATAAAATAAAATTAATAAGCTCTTAATAATTCTTAATAAATTCTTAATAAGATCTTAATAATAAATTCTTAATAAGATCTTAATAAGATCTTAATAATTCTTAATAATAAGCTCATAATAAGCTCATAATAAGCTCTTAATAATTCTTAATAATAAGCTCATAATAAGCTCTTAGTAAGCTCTTAATAAGATATACTAACCTCTTGATAAAACTTCCCCAGCACATAAATGAATAATTGAATAAGCTTCATTTAAAGTAACCATTTGTTCAATATCTCTCTTTTGTCTTCTTATAGCACTCCAACTTCTTCTTAAACTTCCACCACTCCTAGAAATAATTCCTTTATCTTTTTTAGATACATCAACAACATTTTTTTGAGTGTTTTTTTTATAGTTTTTTATTTTTTGAAACATTTATGATTCTTTTTAATAAACTTTAAAAAATCTTTAAAAAATCTTTAATACGATTATTGTTTGATTATTAATGACAGTTATATAAAAAAAAGAAATTATTTATGATCTTAAAGGAATATGAATGAATGGTGTTGCAATGATAATGACGATATGGAAATAGAGAGATTAATTTTTAAAACCGCATTCGCTATCTTTTCCCTTATTTGAATAATTGCTTTGGGAAGTGAGAGAAAAGAAAAGATATAAAAAAAGAAAAGACTAAATAAAAAGTAATAATAATACGAGAAAAATAAATATATGTTATATGCTTTATAAATGTTGTAACACATTCTAACAGTCAATTTAGAAATTCTATACTAGTCACAGATTTTTAATGTGGCTATGCGAATCAAAGATTTCGTTAATACATTTAGTCCTACTTGAGATTTTGAGGATCTTTTACGTGATTAGGTATAGTCTTGCTTTATTTATGGAAAATATTTTTACGTAAAACGGTATTACCAGTCCTCGAGTTTTAGAAAACAATCTATTTATCAATAAAAGGTGTACGAATTACACCTTATTTGGTTAGACCAAAAAATTTAATTCCATTTTTCGATCTGCATATGTATGCGCATTATCGCTATTCCACAAACCGTCCTCAAAAAAAAAATAGGTTAAGATATTTGATATACTTAATATTCATTAAATTAGTTACAACTATATTCATTAAATTAGTTACAACTTATGTACTTCCATTCGTTATGCATTGTACGTGTATATTTTAATATTAGATACTATAGATTTTCATTGAAAAATTCTTATTAAACCGAAATTTTTTTTTCCGTTTTTAATGGTAATTATTTCATACATACGTAATGTACGTTAATGATAACCTTAACAGTAATTTATTAATGTTAACTACGTATGTATACGTATAAATTTAACACTTTCTTGTTTAAGCTATTCCGTTAATCAATATCAGATATGTATTCGTGCGTACGTACGTACGTACAGTACGTAAGTTATTACAACGTGATGTATTGTGCAACTATTAACGTATGGCACGTGTTTCACATTATAATCTCTTTTATCTCTTTTAATACAAAGGTACGTACGAACGTAACGTACGTATTATTATCCATTTGACGTATGCCAATGAAAGTAAAGTGACTTTTTTTTCTGTATCTTTTACTGAAATTATTTTTATTACAAATATATTGATCAGAAAATATTTATTATACGAGTCTGACGTAACAACGTGTGAAGTATTTTTCATGTTAATAAAAAAAATTAAACTCACTACAAAAATATCAACGATATAACAACACCAAGACTCTATCCAATAAGAATTTTAAATTAATCATGCCAAGACCTAGTGATGCGTTGTATGCGATCATATCCAGTAAGAATTTAAAGCGAAAACTTAATAATGACGTGATCCCGTCTAACCCAAATAACATAAGACTTTGTTTAATAAGAATCCAAAGAAAGTTAATAATGTACAACTCTGTTCAATGAAAATTTAAAGAAAGCAAATGTATGATAATGTGTGAACACGTCTCCGCTTTGCTCCAGCCAATCAGGTGATTCAGTTTAATAAGAAAGAGGTTTCTACGTAATAAGAATTAAAGAAAGCAACGATCTATTAACATGTGACTCCATCCAATCAAAATTTAAAAAAAGTCTTATGTCAATTTTAAGACCTACCAATTTTTAAATGAAAATAAAACAACCAAACCGGAACACTTCCGTATTTTATCAATATGAAAGTGTTTCAGTTTAGTTATATTAAAATAGACAAGTTGGCGCACTTTCATATCTGATAAAATGTGAAAGTGTCCCGTTTAGCTATTTTTCAAACACATACCAATAAAATGAGTCAAAAAAAGGCACTACGTACTGAATCATGTATGCTAAGAAAGTTTGAAATTTATATATTAAGAAAGTTTGGATTATGTATACGTATCAAGAATGTTTGAATTATGTACACGTACTGAGAAAGTTTGCATGGTTAAGATGGTTAAGATTTACAAAGTTCATCCTTTATATATAAATATACCCCTTTTGATAAGTACTACGTAATCTATTCTTTTTTTTCGTGTTAGAGTTTATTATAGAAATAAAACCCCTTGTACTAAAGAATTCTTTTCGGAATATACGTACGTACGTATGTACTATCTCGAATTCTACCATACATTGCATACTACATTGCATACGTATCTGCTACGTACAATATACGTATGCTCAAAAAAAAAAAAAAAAGCTCGCTTTGTTAGATAAGACCCGTATGCACAACAATAAAGTTTTTGCATTATTTATCCTAATTGTCTGAATGATAACACAGCCCGGGTAAAAAAAATTTCAGATCGTATGATTTAAGTCATTCATGCTACCTTCGTACGTGCCCAAATTTCACATGATTCTCAATTTAGAAATTCACTATAATGTACACTTGTCGGCAAGGCCCGGACAAACTCAAAACAAGGTAATTACCATTTATAAAAAAAAATCAATCCAAGAAAATAATCTCGACATTCTGTAAATGTTACTGATGATGCTAAAATCGGATTATGCTGATTTGAGTTCTCAACTTGAAACCTCGATTTGAAAGTAAAAGTTCTATTAAAATCCACCTACGTAAATTCTTTTATCCTAACTTAACTTAAAAACACAACCTTAAAAACACTTAACCTAAAAACGCAAACCTAAAAAACACTTAACTCTAAAAACAAGCCAATAAAAATGGCTTCAAAAAATTTTAAAAATTCATACATTATCATCCGTGACACTATATATGAGAATATATACCATTTGAGTGTTGCAAATTGAAAGCCAGAAAGTCTAAAACTTCATTAGACAATGAAATATGCAGTACAATGATTATTCGGGTAAAGCCCGCATTCCGTTATATAAAGAATTCTATTTTTAGATTTCCTGGTTTTCACATAGCGACACCCATTTGTTTAAATAAGATATTAGTTTAACCAGATTTTGGGATTTAGGCGTGGGCAAACCCAAACTATAATAATTTTGGTTTTATCGGCATGTATAACTATAACGGTAATTGATTATTAATTTTATCGTTATTGATACATTCAATATTACCGATAAAGTAATAAAAAAAACTGTGCCAGGTTTGTCAAAAAAGATTCATCTCGTAATTTTATTATAAATTTTATTATAATTCTTATTATAATTCTTTGTTTTAAGTCCTCTACTAATCCTAAATTAACACTAACCTATGAATTAGTTTAATACATTCATTCCGATATTAATCAATCTAGACACAACACAAATTTATAAAGAATAATTTTAGATTTTATTTTTATGCTTATGTTATATTAGTATGTTAAACTTTCATTAAATGACGGGGATATATAGAATTTATGAAAGTATTCGGCCCGTTATTCAATGATTATTTTTAAAATTTTATAAAGTTTTCACGGAATTTCTGAATCTAATTTCGTTAAAGGTCTAAATCCAGTTTTTCTAATCAAAACTAGTGTAAGTTATTGCTATCTCTCGATTACATTTTCCAAGATAAAAAACACATATATTGTAAGCCCTGAATTAAGGTCCCGTCCCCTACCCGAGTAATTGGTCACGTGAAAAGTAAAGGAGATTTTACTTTTATTACTTTTATTACTTCGGGTAGATCGACGGCAGGAACTGAATATTTAAGTTTTCATCATGGCGAGTTTAACCCCTGATGAATTCTGTAATTAATCATGTGTGCGATCAGTTTTCTAATCGTTTCGATAGTATGTATCACCTCAATATAGAATCGGTTCTATTAATTAATCGTTTTTATTATGCACAATTAATGTAAAATATGGGCCGTTTTGCATCACTGTTTTGGCAGTAATCGAAAATTTGTTAATATTAAATTATGATATATACAGATAACTTGTTAATAAATTATAATATCGGTATAATTGTAGTTATTTAAAAGAAATTTGTGAAAATTTTAGCAATCATAAAAACTTTATTGTAATAAAGTGCGTATATATTAAATATACAGTATATAACACAAGATTGACAAGTGCTTTCCTAATGCCTCCCGATTATTAATAAATTATAGTCTGGTGCTTTCCGATTAACTAGAATTTTATGTTCAAAGCATTTCTTGGTTAGCTAATATTTTGTACCAAAGTACTTTCGAATTTTACCGTCTGTGTGTTTCTCAATTAATTTGCAGCCCAAATATTTCTCAACTAGATTTTATGGTCAAGGTTTTTGTAGCCTAATTGCCTTTCGATTAACTATGATTTGATTGCTTTAATATTATTCTACAAATAAATAAAACTCAAACTTTGATAAATTAGCGAAGCTTCTAGTAAATTATATATGGAAATATATAAAGGATAAGAATCTTGACCAAAATGTATATTTATATAAAGATCGATAACATTAATTTACAACCATTAAATTGACTTCGAATTTATATTATTATTATTATTTTTTAATTTTATTATTATTATTCTTATTTAATTCAATTATTTTTTTTCATAGATCATCAAAACAAATAAAATTGACAAAAATTTAAAAACAATATTATAAGTTTCCTTTAATAATATAGTTTTCTTTAAAAATATTGGATTTAACATTGTTAGATTTAATATTATTGGAAATTCAAAAGTTACAAGTAACTAATTATGGTCTAGTTGCTAGTGTAAAGTTGGCAATCCTAATAAAGAGCAAACAATTTTTTGTTTATTTATTATTCCTAATCTGTACAGACTAATCAACTTGGCCTGTTCTTAAAGTATCTAGAAGGTTATAGATTTTATTTATTCAGTTTGTTTTATTTTTATTTCAATATAAATTTTATTTTTATTAGAACCAAATTATTCAGAAAACTTGAATTCAGTTCTGAAAAAATTTTTTCTGACAAAAGTGGAGTATCAAGTTACTTCAGAAAAATTATAAAATATATATGATTAATCAAAACTGTAAACATTAAAAAACAAACAAGTAATCACATTTCAGATATTAAAATTTATAACAATCAGCAAAAAAATACAACAAACATCAAGTCATATACAAAACTAAATTAGATAATAGATAATCAAATAACAAAAATACAAAAATAGATCAAGTAAATAAAATAATCAAATAGAAATAATCAACAAATAAAACCTAATTTAGTAGGTACAGAGAACAGGTAACAAACTGCATAGATACTTAAACTGCAGTAAATTAAACCATATTCTAGAAACATCTATAACTAAAGAACCAAGTGACTTAGAAACTATAACAAAAAACTTAGTTTTTGGTGATTCTTAAAAAATTATAACTTAAAATATTCTACTATACAATCAAATACTCAAAACCTTAAGATATGTATCAGAAGAAATTAAAATAATACCAAGGAAAACTATTAAGGATTGGGTCAATAAAATTAAAATAGTAAGCCAAAATTTAGACTCAATTAATTATATATTAAGTTTAAACAAAGAGGAAATAAAAAAGAAAAAAAACAAAATGAAGAAGATCAAAAAAAAATAGAAATGAACAAAATTATTCTAGTATAATATTTAAGAAAAGATGAAAAACAGAAGATACAATGATGACAGATATAAAAATAAACAAGGTCATAGAGCAAATAGAAACATCAGATATAAAAAAGTGTCAAGTAGTAATACAACAAACAGAACTAACAGGTAAAAACAAGAAGCTACTAGTAATTAAAAATAATCATATAAAAGTATAAGATAAAAAAGAATACAAGAAGAATCAGAAAACTTCATAAGAAAATATAATCCAAAGTATCAAAGAAACAACCATGCAGAAAGAATTAGAAATCAAACTAGTAGCAATTCAGTTAGAAGACAGGCTCTGGTTATCTAAAAACAGAACCTATAACAAGAAGTTTTTTTTTAAAGCAAAAATCATATTCTTTAAGTTCAAAAAGAAATTAAAGAATACTGAATCAACTATATGAAGTGGGTTCTTAAAAGAAATAAACATATTAAAACAATTGAAGAGGAATTTCAAAATGGTAATAGCTGAGTAGTAGTAGATTTCAACTGTAAATACAGCAGAAGGACATTAAGTAAGTACATTAAAGAAAAAGAAGAAGATTGGTATAATTTTATCCCAAAAGAGATTAAAATTCCAAAAAGAAAATTCAATATATATTCTAAAGAAAATAAAAAAATAATAAAACCAAAATACAAAGAAAGATATCAAGTAGTCTTAAATTCATAAAAGAGGAATTTGACTTACATCTTAAAGAAAAAATAAAAAAATCTAGCTTCAGCAAAAAGAGAAAAGAAAAGATAGAAATTACAAGATATATAATAATTTAGGATTTGTCAGTAAATATTAAGTATAAAGAAATAGAGTATATGTATAGAAGCCTTGGCAATATACATAGAATAAAAGTCAAAAGATTGCAATTCAAGACACTGAGGTTACAAGCAGTAATAATGATTACATCCTATGTTCATTACTATTAGATAATAACAAATTAGTTCAAGTAACTCAAAAAAAAGAAAATTATGAATAAAGAAATAGACAAAGTCTTTACACAGCAAAACTACTAGAGATTCCCAAAGAAGCTTCAGAGGTGTTGCTTCTGCAAAATTTAAAAAGTAAAGGTGCAAATTCAATATACATTTCTGCAAATAGGAATGGTAACTCTAGGAGATTTGTAATAATTATATTTACAAGTCAGGAAGAATTAGAAGCAGCATAGTTCAAATTGATAAGGTATAACAAACATACAGTTTTTTGGGAAGACTACAAGATGAAAAGAAAAACAGAAGAGAAAACAAGAATAACTAACAAAAATTACAATGATAAAGGAAAAAAAAACATTATTCAGAAAAGAGAATACAAATATGAAGAAAGAGAAAAAAAAATAAGAAAACAAAAGAAGAAAAACAAAAGAGTATAAAAAAGTAATATAAAAACATCTACAAAAAGGTTATTGTTAAGAATACTTAACAGACTTGACAAATTAGAAGCACAAAAGGAAGTTAACAATATGATAATAAGATGGAAACTGGCAAATTACTCCTAATAGTAACTGAAGTTAATCTGAAGTTAACAGATATAAAAATGTGCACCTCTTTATAAGTTCAAGTAGTCAGAACAAAAATACTATAAGAAAATACTCTATATTTAAAGAAATACTCTAGAAAAGATAAAGTGAAGCTGCTGAATATAGATAACAATAAAGCAAATGAAAAACAAATAGATAAAGATAATTCTTAGCAAGAGACTAGAAATACTCAATATAGGATTCATACAGGAAGAATATATGAAAATAAGAAAATTAAGCTTAAACTAGTAATACACAATATTAATGATCTTAAAGCAAATAACTAAAAAATAAAGTCACTATATGTATAAATAATAAATAATAAACTTGATATTATAGAGCTTTCAGAAACAAATATTTTAATTAAAGAAAGATTTTTCCTAACAAGAAATTTAGAAAATATAAAAGTTTTTGGACAAATGCATATTTAGATAAAAAGAAAGATTTAAATATAGGTTTGCTAATTAGCAATCAGTAAAAAAACATTTAAGGCAAATAAACAGAGTAAACAAGTATATAATCTTAGCTAGTTTTATGTTTAAACAGCTAGAGATTATAGTTATAATGATTTACTTGTCACCAAAT